GTATGATACTTGTTTTTCTGTTCTTGTGATACTTTATTTAGAAGAATCTTCTCCACATCCACCCAAGTTGTAACAAAGTCTTTATCTTTGTTATGAGTGTATAGTATTCTATGGTATACATTTACCATAGTTTATTCATCCATTCATGTGTTGAAGTGCACTTGGGGTGATTCCACATCTTTGCAATTGTAAACTGGGCTGCTAAAAACATTCAGGTACATACGTCCTTATGGTAAAGTGACAGTTTTTATTTGGGGTGATACTTGGTAATGGGATTACAGGATTAAAAGGTCTACTTTTAGTTCTCTGAGGACTCTCCTACTTCTTTCCATAAAAGTTGTACTAGTTTCATAATTTGATTTACTTAATTGTAACTTATTTTTTCTGTTTAAGGATCTTTTTATTTATAACAGTAGTTCTCAACCTTCCTGATGACGCAATCCTTTAATACAGTTCCTCATGTTGTGGTGACCCCAACTACAAAATTATTTTCATTGCTACTTCATAACTGTGATTTTGCTACTCTTATAAATCATAATGTAAATATCTGATATGCAGGATGGTCTTAGGCAACCCCTGTGAAAAGGTAGTTTGATCCCCAAAGGGGTTGTGACCCACAGGTTGAGAACCACTGATTTATAAAAATGCTATTAAAAAGAAGAGGACTGTACCTCCTATATTGTAATATGATTATTTTCAAAAGAGAATTATAAAAAACATTTTTATAAAAGATAATAAAAAAGAATAAGATTCAGAATAAACAACTATGAATTGAGAATAAAGGACTGAATTCCAGGCCTAAATCATGAATTAGCTTTGCTCTTAATTTTCTTATTTGTTAAAATGAAAAAGTTAAAGGAGATAATAACCTCTAAAGTTCTCTGATATTATGGTTTTCTGAGATATATCTAATACCCAAAGTACAATCAATAGGAAAAAATTATTTCACCCAGTCAGGTTAGGACTAGCAAGATTTTGAAATATTAATATTTTTAGAAAGTTTATATACAGAAGTTTATAGCTTATATGCCTAATACCATAGTCATATTTTAAAATATATATAAACCTAAAACTACACAATATATTAAAATTATACATTATTTAGTATAGCTACTTTTACTTATATGTGAAGATATTCTAGGAGTAATTTATTTTTTATTATGCATGATCATACTGTCTATGACCTGTTGATTAAAAAATACTCGAATAAAAATAAACATTCAAACAGTCTACGTAGATTCCTTCGAATTTTTGCTTTGGGGAAGATTACATTAAATTTTATTCTCTTCTATTCATCAAATACATAGATATTTCTTCTCCAACAACAAAAGATAATTGAAAGAAAAAATATTTTTGCCTAAAATAAAGACTGTGATATTGATTAGTGTTAGATTCTGATAAAGCAACTATGGTATACAAATTAAAAACTAAGAGTAAAAAGTCAAACTTAAATAGATAATTCATTACTTTCAAAACAGTAAAGGGGAAATAGAAAAACCAGGCACACTTAAAAAAATCGACCCAATAAAAGACTGGAGGAAAAAATAGAATAGCTTTTAAGACATGAAGAAAACAGTAGAAATGTAAGTATAAAATAATAAAAATGTAGAAATATAACCCGAATACATCAATAATGAAAAGCATCTTAACTCACTGACCTATGCAAACTAACATTCAGCCACAAGCCTGCATTTGAAAGCGACACACTAAATCAGGATGGCCCAGTAGATTGAAAGCAGAAGGATGGACTAAGATACTAAACAATTATCAACTCCTCCCTACCCCAAGAGCTGGTACAATAATAACAATATTAGTAAAAGTAAACTTAAGGCAGAAAAACATAATTAGAAATTAGGTCTTTACACAGCAATGAATTCATCAAGAAGATAAAATAATACTTAACCTAAATGAACCAACAAAAGAGCCCCAAATATGTAAAGGTTGGCAGAATAAAAGGTTACAAACCCATAATTAGAGTGGGCACTTTTGCAAACTTCTCCAAGACAGTGAATAAATAGACAAAATTACAGAAGAAATAGAAATTTTAATTATGATTAACAAGCCTGATCTACGGGACATACTGAAAACACTAAAAAGACTAGAAGAGAATATACATTCTTTTTAAAAAACACATGCAATATATACAAATCTCAGTCAATATCCACATCTAGGATAAAGCAAAACCTAACAAATCCCAAACAATTATGAAATGCATCACACTATTTGACTATCATGTAATAAAACTAAAATATAAATGAAAACATAACACCTAAAATAAATATATGAAAACTTAAAATATACAATTCATGAGTCAAAGAAATAATAATAGGAATTATGAAATATTTAGAACAGAGTGACAAGGAATAAAGCTAAAACTATTTTCTCAGGGTAAAATGATAGACTTAAATATAAATATTTAAATATATTAAACATTAATTAGGTAAGTGAGGTAAGCATTCTATTTAAAAAGTTTAAAAAGAAAACCTGAAGAAACCCATAGAAAGTAAAGGAAGAAAAACAAAAGAGCAATACTAAAACAACAGACCACATCAACATGAACAAAAGCTATTTCCTTTGGCAAAGAAAGGTCAAGAATAAGACCATCCAAAAACCAATATTAAGTGTATTCAAGTGGAGATATAAAAATCATCAAAAATACTACCAACATATGTCAATAAATTTAAATTTAAAAATAAATGAAATATCTTTCTAGAAAAATTTCATTAATAAAATATCAAACTTAAAAGCTGTGCAACCAATAAAGAAATGCAATCATTAGTCTTGTCAACAACAACAATAAACATCAGAGAAAAAAATATCTCCAAACATGTTTAATTTATTTGGGAATTAGAAAGAATTATATCCAGACATGCACGACTACGGCAAGCCACGTATACATCTGGAGAGGAGAGGTTAAAGGGAGACTTTTATAGGTAAAAAGCGGAGCTCACATAAGCTACTTGGAAACAAAGTTCATTGGCTTCAGATACTCAAAGCCATACTTGATGGCAATTCATTGGTGGAGATGCCTCTATTGGGCAGGTGTCCTTTCCAAAACACTGTATCTGAATTGCTATAGTTCTCAAGAAAGTATTTCTTGTGGGATTATTTCCAGAAGTCCTTGACACAGTCTTTATCACAGACATACAAACATTAGCCTCCTTTTTTGTTCTCTCTCGACTCTAGTTTGTTTGTGTCTGACAAAAAGTGATTTCATCCTGTTATTTGTAACTTTCACATCTAAATTCTACTTAGAAAGTAACAGATTCAGACAACTTAAGAAGGAAAGGTTTTTAAAACTTTTTAAAGTTTTGGAAAGTATTTTGGTAAGGTATGTCTATGTTAATAGTATTAAAAATCTATAAAAACAA